CCGCCGCCTACTCTTGCGCCTGCACCGGTGCTATTGAATGGCTTTCTGGATGATGCTGGGTGGGGGAATGAGGACGAGAGCTTTGGTGACTGGACTACGTCATCTGGACATGATACCGCTGTTACTACGCTCACGGAGACGTGCACAGCTGAACCCAGTCCACTGAAGAATGAGAGGGCAGTTGACGATGGGCCGCGATGGGATTTGAAAGAAGAAAACGAGCATGCATCGCCGACACGAGAAGACGCATGGGGTGGACAAGAAGATACTTCCGATGTGGACAATGTAACCTCGGATACCTCCGACACGTCGACTACGATACAGCCGGACACGTCTCCCAGTCAAGACGTCGTCGCTCCTGCGAATCGATTACAGCCCGACGATGACTCTTCTGCACGACCTTCCACTTCCCCATCCGAGACAAGCCGCACCGAAGCGCCGGTCGAATCGCCACGGACATCGTTTGAAGAAGAGGCTGGCAGGCAGCAGACTGCAGTGGAGGAGCCGAAGCCGAAAGAAGCTCACGCGGCAGCAAGTCATGAGGACAGTGACGTGGATACTTCCGGGTCGAGCAGCGACAGCACAGACGATGGATTCGGAACGTTCACACAAGATACTCTGTTGACGGAAGCTCCTTTGGGTTCGCCCGAAACTAGACGGAGCGCTGAAGGAGACTCGAAGGAGACCCCGGAAGAATCAGCCGCCTCCCGCTCTGGATCCCCAATAACCTCTTCGAGTGCCGCTCCTGCCCCACACGACACCGATACCTACCAACTCGATACAGACCTCTTCGACGAGCTCTTCCCATCTAATGGCGATAAAAAAGAACCAGATGAGGCACCGGATGATCCTGTGTACTCCACATCTGGGCGCAAAGCTTGGTACAGGCTTACGCGCAAGCAGACCATGAGGGAATTTAACAGCGGGAACGCAGACGACAACTACATTCGAGTCACATGGGCAGGCTCTCAAGTCAGGGCGGAAGTGAACAAGACTGTGGCAAGATGGGCACGCGAAGACCGCCTCTCCGGTACAGGTCCAGGAGCCAGAGCGTCGTTCTACTGGGACACGCCTGCGCCTCCGGAGCCCAAGACAGCCAGAGGCCATCTGCGCACGAAGACTACCATTCCTACACCACGAGCAGTCGAAGTTGCACCAGCTCGACAAAGCATGCCTCCCGTGTCCACTGACACCCCAGCTGCGTTCAACTGGAGTTCTCCGACTACAACAGTGGACCCTTGGAAGCAGGATAGTCCCGGTTTACCGCCTATACTCCCGCCTGTCGCGCCTAAGCATAATGCTGTCGAAATTACACAAGCGAATGAGCTTCGTGCAGTTTCAATTGACCTGACACGCGATGTTGGGGAAACACATGGGCAAACGCCGAGTGAAACGCCGGTTGTCGCAACGAAAGCAATCCCACCTCCTGAGCCAACCACAACCTCTCCAAGTCCTTGGGGAGACATTGCTGCTCTCGACACCAACACTTCCAATCAGGAACAACGTACGGATGTGCCTGCAGAAGATGACGATGATTGGGGTGAGATGATATCAAGCCCTACAGTATCCATTCTCCCCGCAGCCTTTCCAAGCTCCATACCCGCGACGCTCGACAGCACCGTGTCAAATTCAGCATCACCACCAAAGACTCCACCGACCCAGGACCGCTCAGCCGAAGCGATGCATATCGTGCGCCTGCGAAGTACCATATCGCCAACATCAGCGATCTTTGGACCAAAGAGTTTCGTCCCATTCCATGCTGAACAAGGACCTATTGGACCTGGACTCTTGAAACCCGCCAAGCGCTCTGTTTCTGCCACATCGGAGAAGAGCAAAGTCGAAGTTCCACCAAAACCAATTTCAGAAGTCATTCCACAGGAAGAAGTGAAAGCTGATGTATTGCCGGCGCGCGATGCGCTTGATACAAACGAAATCGCTACCAACGAGGTGAAGGTCGAAGAGCCTAGTACGAACGACGCGGAAGATGACGACTTTTCTGCGTTTACGTCCAACACACATGAGCCGGAACCTGCCAGGCCTAGCACTCCGCCTTCAGCACCTATAGCACGAGATGAACCCACCATAGATGCCTGGGCGGACGCCGACTTCTCTTTCTTCGAATCTGCTCCTGCCACAAAAGCGTCTGCGCCAGCCACGCGCGATCCGTCAGATCCCTTTTCCGTCTTCGAAACTCCTCCGAGACCGACCAGTGCTGCATCTTCCGCGAAGACATTCACGCGGTCTCCTCCGCGGAATGTAACCCCTCCGCCTATTCAGCCGCTTACTGGGGCTACGAATTCTGCGCAACGACGGAAAAATGATGAAGAGCAGGTTATCAAGAGTATTCTGGCTGGGCTACCAGACTTGAGTTATATGTTGCGTAGATGATGTATCGTTGTTTAGATGGTTGTATAAATGCTGTTTCTTGCATTTCGCATGGCGTTTTCGGGTGCTTGGATATCCATGGTCGTTTTTAGCATTGCTGGCATAGGTCACAGGGTCTTGTGACAAGAGCGTTCCTTCGTATACGTCCAATCTTCATATCATTACTATCACTTAGAGGTGCATATATACACGATATCGTCTCGCTTGTTCTTGCTTTCACATCATCTCTTCATTCCGTTTCACATTCTAGTTCACTTCCTCTTCTTCGAGCACTTCACTCACTGCAGTTAGCCATCGCCGTTCTCATAGTCGCCATCGCCGAACAGCCACTCCCCTCAGTCCATGGAAGTAGAAGTTTACATTCCATCGGCACACCCTCTCTCGATTTAATCCTTCCTACCGAGGTCTCTTCGACATAAAGCGAAACCTTCCTCAACTGGAGCACTGTTTAGACACGCAACGTCAACCACTCCTACCCTCGACTCTACTCGACAACGCTCTTACCAAAAGATAGCAACACACAATGGGAAAACATTACCACGTTCGTCATAGGAGTACCGGCGAACGCTACACAGTCACCGTCCCTGCCGACACCTCCCCCGCCTCGGTACGGTCGACGTATGAAGCTGAACATTGGAGGACTCGAGAGATAAGCTACGGAAGCGGCTCAAGGCACGATACTGATGACTTTCGATTCCCGAGTCGACCAGTGCTGCCAGATGGTTTAATCCCCATCGATGGCTCACGCTGCGAACCCATTGAGACTCATCCCGGAATGCTATACCCTCCACGCAATCGACACGGTCCCTTCGCGCCTCTGCCCCCGTTCCCCCAAGAAGTCCACTCTCCACCACAGCGACACGTCTCCTTCGCCCCCGACCCTCGAAGAGATCCTCCCCTCCCTTCCTACCCACCTAACCCCACACGCCGAAACGGTCAAGGCCACTCCCGCAGCAGGAGTGCGCCTGTGAACCCTTTCGAGGGCTCACACCACAGTGGGAATGTTTCGGACAGGCTCGCCCAGCTTCCTGAATACGCTCGCCGGCATCCTCGGTTCGAGGAGGCGAAGTATGCTATGCAGATGATATGGAGGTATCCTAGAGATGATCCTAGGGCGGTGCCGTGGCAGATGGTGCTTAGGGATATTACGGAGGATATGGAGAGGGTGGGGTTGGATGGTTTGGCGGGGGGCATGAGGTAAGGGGGTTTTGAGAGGCGGGGGCCATGGTACTGCGATGACGCAGAGCGAGACGAGCCACTCACAACTTCCGCAACATCGACGACCTTGACGAAAAGATACTCTCACGAATGAGAGAAATTGCAAGTATGATATATTGAGGGGCGGGGGCGTGGGGTGTGTGAATGAGGGTCGTGGGAAGGCTGCGGAGTTGGGTATACGTTGGGAGATGCCTAGTCTTGCGTGCTATTTGCTTTTCGTGCTCATGAAGGTGTCACCTTTCCATCATATCACCGCAAACTGCTTGTTGATTTACCGCCTCAGCTATGTATAAGAGCTGCTCTCGGATCCTGACCTCTCATCTTCGAAGCGAAACATCAATCATCAACACGACAATGAGTTCAACGGCTCGATTCAACGATCCCCCGCCCTACGTACCACCGAAAGCCCCAGGCCATGTCATACTCGCAGTCGTCCCGATACAGTTCGTAGTCGCTTGTGATACCATTCTGAGAGCAGCAAGAGAAGCCATTCTGAACAACACGAATAAAGACCACTTCGAAAAGAATCCAAGCGAATGTACGCTTTATGATTCTTACTCCGTAACTCAACAGATACTCCAAAATGACTACACTTGGCCTCTAGTCGTTGATCGAGATGCATCCCTGGCCACGAACATACACAAGATAGAGGCGGAGGCGCGCATGTGGTTAGACAACTCCCCGCTCTTCATCCAGCATCGCAGCGATCTGGAGCTTTACCTCACAGCCCCGATTACCTTCAAACCGAAACGCTATATCGTGGATAATGGTGGTCTTTTACAAATGAGGGAAGAGAGGATTGCGCTTCGAGAGCAGGTACCTCAGGTTTACTTGGACTGCACACTTTCGGTCGGGGACTTGTGCTCTGAAGAACATGGGAAAGCGTATCGAGAGTATTTGACTATGCTGGCTTGGCTTGAGAAGGCGCCACGGGAGCGCATGTATATCAGTGCACCGCATCTGGACGCCCCAAGAGAACCTGATCCCTTCGAGTATAATCCACCGGGATACAGATGGTAGGACTAGCAAGTAATAGAACTTCTGGTCAGTTGCAGAAGGTACTCAGATGTTAGCTCAGTTGCGGGTGAAGTCAATGTCACAATACTGAAGTCAATCTTTACTTGTGGACTTCAACTTTCCTTTTAGCTCGGAGACGAACAGACAATGTGATGTCTCTGGCGATGTGCGACTTACCCTTTCTAGTCTGCCAGCCGGTCAGTAAGACCTTCACTATTCTTGCTACCTAGCTAGTGTTCACTGACTACCGGTGCAGGACCGTGCGGGCTTGGACGGTCGTTTGCTTTAGCGGCACACATATCAGGGCTTATAAATCATAGTATTCCATCTCTTCTCTCTACTCCCTCATTCCTGCGCACTACACACTATCACTCCCCGCCATGGATGCGTACCCAGAGAAGATGATAAAGTTTGCCATCGTTCCTATTGAGACTCTCATCGCCTGCAGAGACATTCTCTTCCAAGTGCACTCCATCATCAATAGTAACATATCTCCATATGAGGCTCCATACTCTCGAGATATGGACGCAATCGAGGCGCACTACAGTCGAGCTACAGAGCTAGTGGCCTCCCGCGACACTGTCTGGCCGCTCATCATCGAACAGCAATCGCGCATCCACGACAACATCACCGAGCTCATCGAGAACGCGACCGGGTGGCTAGAGCGCTCCGCTTTCTCCGCATCGTTTGCGGAGCGAAGCAAAATCCTCAAGAATTACTTAACACCCCAGCGAGGCTTTTCAGCCAGCAGATTGGCCATACGTGGAGATGGTACCGTTTCGGACAGAGATTTCATCATTCTGGAGCAGCGCACATTGATGCAGACCTACCGGAACGACCTCAATCGACTGAACCTCTTCCGCATTGACAGTTACGAAAGGGTGAAGAGTTTTGAGAACTTTTCGACGACATTGGCCTGGATGAGAGAGGAACCTCTCCGGCGTATGTTCAGCAGGTATTTCAAGGGAGTCTACCTGGAACATGAACAAGAAGTCCAGGACGGTCCAGCCTCTGACCACGTCAGTCTTACCGGTCAGTGAACGGTCTTTCCGGTCTTCAAGCTCGTCTAACATTGTGCTAGACACCGACTCCTTCGGCAACATCCTTACTCCGTCGACCACTCGTACCACTTCACCAGCCCTCACCGAGCGCGCAGACAACGACACCGCCGAGAGCGACGCTATCAAGCTACCGACCCTCAAGTACATCGCCATCATCGAGACCGACAACGATAACAAGGCCATCTTTGACCTCGAGTTCGCCGACGTCAACCAGGATAAGCATAAGGTCCTGGTCATCGCGAAGGATATGTGTACCGAGATGGTTTCCAAGGGTTATGAGAGCAAGGTCAAGCTGCAGGACATCATGGAGATGGCGGTCAAAATGGCGAAGAAGTGAGAAGTGCGAAAGAGGCAGCAATTGACCGAGCTTCAGTTGCGCTCGCTTGTCTGTGAGACACATGATGGAAGGAATCATGGTGCGAAGACCCACGGGGCTGCAAAATCTTTACGCGAAAAGGAAACTTAGTAGCAAGATGAGAAAGCTGTATGTATTGAGCACGTACGCGTGCTCAATGTAGTCACACAAGAATACTAAATGTTCATGATACGTCCTCTTGACTTCGATGATTTCGTGAGCTTGCAGCTATGCGAGACCAGTACATAGCTTATGAGCTAGCGCGGCGTATGGTGCTCACAAAGCTTTCAGGCGCTCAGATCCATTGCATCCCCAGCAGGTCGCTTCTTGAACCCAAAGCGCGCATCCAGCTTCCTGATCGTGCTCTGCCTCATCTCCTTCGAAGGCCAACCTTGACTTGGCACCCTAACCTTCTTGTCTCCCCTCAACTGCACCGGCACCGGGATATTCTCACCAGTCTTGCTATCCCCATACCCATACATGACAAAGTCAAGATAGTACTGCTGCACATCCAGGCCCCTCCTGATACTCTCAGTGATGACCAGATCCAAAGCATGCGGCATCCTCTTTCCGTCTTCGTTCCAGCCCTCAAGGCTCAGTAGACCCCACTGGTCTTCCAATACGCTATGGTCTTCTACGTCTTCGAGCCAGGGATGGGCTTCGAAGTCCAGATCATCCATAAGGTATGTCGCAACGACCATCGCACTGGTGGTATCGTAGTTGAACTTCATTTTGCCACTGAGCGCTTCCCACAGCGGAGTCAAGCTCTTCTGGGCGAGCAACATGGGACCCAGCTGACAGACGCCGTTGCCCAGTATGGGATCGGAGAAGCGCATGTCGAGCTTCATGAAGAAGAGCTGCATGTTGATGAGATCGGCGTCGGTCCAGATATCGGCATCTTCGAGGAAAGAGCGACGCGTCCTTGATTCCTTGAGCTCCATGACGCACCAGTACTTCATCAGCGCGCCCTCGCAGGCCTCCGGTACGCGATGGCCTTCCAGAGCCATGTATGTAAGGATGCTTCGTACGACCTTCTGGCGGTAGACTATCATGCCAACCCAGCGAAAGCCTGGTACGTCGCGCGCTAGCCACTCGCGGCCGTCCATGGGTCGGAGCATGGGATCGGAAATGCATGTACGAGGGTACAGTACCCAGCTGAAGATGTGACCGGCGAGTGGCGCATGATAGCGGGCGTAGTCGTGTATTAGGGAGACGCTGTATAGATTCAGGCGGTAGTGGAATTCCTTGTCGATGGCGTAGAGGTCGACGATGGACGGGTAAGGTAGGCGGAGCGCGAATTGGAAGAAGAGGTTCGGGTGGCGGATTATGGCCTTGTAGACACTGAAAAGCTGCTTCGGGGCAGGTCCACCGGTGAAAGTTTGGGGTATGGGCGTGGAGGGTATGTCTGGGCCCCAGATCTCGGCGGCGATATTGTGACGGCGGTGTTGGCGGCGGCGGACGACGGTAGGCGCATTACTCTCGGTTGTGGAGGAATCCTGAAGCTTGGCAGTAGTTGGAGAACCATCTTCGACTGCTCGTTTGTTTTTCCCTTTCGCGTTCGCGTTGAGATAGAGCGGGCTTGGTGGAGGCTCCATGATTGTCGTAAAGCTTGACCTCGTGACCTAGTATCACCTAGGTGAGACCAAGGTGCGCTCGAGTAAATATGCGGAATTAGTTCGAAGATGTACTCCCACCCAGGTCAGGGTGGTCGCGTACGTAGTTTAGGCTTTTCGCACATAATAGTTGCTGTCAATACGGTGGGGAGGCAAATAATAAAGCTGTCAGGTCGTCGTGCCAACAAAACAGCGGGACGCCCAGGCAACCAACTACACAGCAAATTCAGAGCACCTGAGATGAGAGTAGAACTAGGCGACTGCCCGGAGTTTTCCGGCGACTCTACATTCAAAATATGCGATACTCGTTGCAGACGCGTGTGTGGATCAAAAAGGGAGGTTTGCGTGAACGGAAATGACAGCTCGCCCCGGCTCCAGCATCCGCATGAATCCCAGCGCTACTGAATGAACATGGAGTACACGAAATAGAAAGGAGCAGAGCTGTATACTATACCGTAGCAGTGAAATTTTGACATATGCACTCACCATTGCTGCAGGCATGCGATGCTCCAGGCTCTTCCTCTCAGACGCGCTTTTTATATAAATTACGGCATGTTCACACGTTCGCCTTCTAGCAGAACGCGCGAAATTGCTTCGACAGGGTCGGTGATGGCCATCCGGTGGTGTTGAAGGTGTATGTGAAGGCGTGGATGAGTGAGAGGACGACGCATCAACGTCATTGGCCCGTGCGCTGCAACCCCCGCCTCGGCCCCTCGTCGTCGTCCCTGCATAATCTGATAATTTAGTTCGCCGTGGGAAAATCGCGTTCCTCACGCATCACAACAAATTCTCCGATTAACGACTTCGTATCACAGTCGCCAAACACGGCTACCTTCCATCGCCTGCAGTACGTGTTTGCTCTCGGCCAGAAATCAACGCCTTCCGCCACGCGATTATTGACTTGAGATATCTAGGACAACTTAGGCATCAATATTCTAATAATTGAATCAACTCAAGTAGTACAATCATCGATCATCGCTATAAAGTCATCTCTTCAGTATACGAGAGCCTCCGCAATCGCGTACCACGCGCATCATGTCATCCAACCTTCTGGCCACGGCGGCGTCGGCGCTCCCCAACGAACTCGCTCTCGTCGTGATCGATCATCTCGAAGGCAACAACAAGGCCTTATGCGCTCTCGCTCGGACATGTCGCGATATGCAAAACCTCGCCGAAGAGCGACTCTACAAGCGAATCGTGCTTCTATCCGTAAAGGACCTCCACGCCATCATCGAAGCCTTCACATCGCGTCCCGAACGCGTCCGCGCCGTACAAACACTCAAGATCTTGTATTCATACAAAGATGACAGTTTAAAAGACAGCGCCGAGATAAGGACGACTTTCAACGAGTGCGTAGCTCGTATGGTCAACCTGAGGGAGTGGCATATTGAGAGCCCGTACGATAACTTTCATTGGGAGAACGATGGTGGAGAGGCTTGGGTCAACGGCGATATGCAACGCTTCCGCCGTGCGCTCGACACAGCTTGCGTGGATGGCCCGATAGAGACGGACAAGATCGCGGCTGAACGGCGCTTGGGGAAGAATCTCGAGCGTACAGTTGGGTTAGGTCTTCTTGAGAACTTGACCATCCATTCGCACGGTACTGCTACCGACTTCTGGAACCTTGACGGGTTCCATTGCCTCTTCCGACACCCCGCACTCAAACACCTTCACGTCTCCTGTGTGGCCTTCCCAGACTCTGAAATCCCAGAGCTCGCGACACATACGAAGAGGACTCCTCTGACCTCGCTTGTTTTTGACGAGTGCGAACTGCGGTCCAAAAGCCTGCTCAGCATCCTTCGCACTCCGGCGCGTCTGAAGTCGTTGACTTTGGGCGAGAATGTCTTCAACATTAACCGGTCAAGGCGGGCTAAGCCGTTATTGAACAAAGACGCAGGCGTATCACTGGAGGCTCTCTCCGCAGTCGCGCACTCGCTGGAAAGCCTTACACATCTAAACCCTGGCTGGCGTCTTGACAAAAGCCCTCAGGTGCTCCGCAGCATACGCCCACCTGGTGATGGTATGCGCGATTTCCACCTTCTGAAGTATCTTGAATGCGACACGAACTCCTTCCTACATCAGGCTATCATCATGAATCGTGATCTGGCGCCCCCTAGCCTGGAAACACTTCGAATCCGTCGGCATTGGGATGTTCCGATCGACTTCTGGGATCAGCCGCCTGACTTTGATCACTACGCCGCTCTGCCATCTCTGGACACACTCGAATTATTGCAATCCTCATACATGTGGTAAGTTCTGATAACAAAGAAAACGTTGTTATTTAAATCATGCGCTGACTATGCCCCGTGTGGCTCCTAGGCTCGACACGGCAAAATCTGAGTACATCTGCGATGAGGAACGTCTTCGCAATCGCCACGCAAAGGCTTTCAAGCTGCACAAGGCTGGCATCAACCTGAAGATGTCGTTGGAACTACACAAAAGCGAAGGCTTGATACCACCGTACCTGCACAAAGAGCGCGTTCCTATTATCGAATGTTTGTACGATGCGAGCATGGAGGGATTCAAAAGTTTCATCAGGAAAGAAGTGACAGATGAAGATGGAGAGACGAGTGAATCGCTTGCGAGAGAAGAGGCTGAAACGGACCAACTAAGCGATGTGGACATCAGCCTGTTAAAGTCGAAGACGCGTCGTCTTACGCTTACCATGAAGCACAGCCTCGTGAACCGCGGCCACCGACTCCCATCATTCAGGGAAATATTCGGCTCAGATGATGGAAGCGAAGAATCGGCCGATAGCGATGAGGATTTCGAGGTCGATGACCTTGACGAGGATGACGATATGGCGCTCGATCTTGAGCTAGACGACGATGTCGTCCAACAGTATATCGACGAAGATGGCAATCCGGTGTTTGACGAAGATGGCAACCCTGTGTTCGAGGACGACGGAGAGCTTTTCACAACCGTGTGGGAGGTGGCTACCGAGGACGAGTATGATAGTGATATGGATGAGGACACGGGTGAGGATGACGACGATGACGAGATGCACGACGCGTTGGAAACCCAGCAACAGCCCGCGAACACCAGCACCAACGACGACGTTGACTAAGAAGTCTTGGGAGAGTGACAGCTGTTTATGTTCGACTTCGGTAGTCTGTATAGCCACAACAGTGTATTCTTGTGTATTCTTGGCTTTAGAGAATAGTTTTAACGATGCATGTATTATCAAAAGTGTTATGCTAATAACCAACAGTAGCGCTATGTGCTCGTGCAACACATACAGCTTCAGATCACAGTCTCTATATAAATCCTCTCTCAAGAATGAACGAACGCCGGGTATTTGAAAAGGTATCGCACCAAATCAGTAGCTAATACACCACTGCAAAAGAAGTCTGCGATAAACGTCAGCCATGACTTCATACTCCCCATCGCCCATTAACTTACCTCCACCAAACCCATCATCGCGCACACCCAAGAGTCTGTGACGAACAGTACGCGTTCTCCCTATTGATACATTAGCACTTCACTCCTAGATGATCTCACACCATTCACGCCCCTCATCCCATTCCTTCCCAATCCGGCAGGTATACCGCCTTCCTCCCCCAAACCTGATTCAAGAACTAAACATACCTCGTCAAATAACTCCCATCCGCCTTCGCCCTCCTCGTTTCCAAAAGTGGCGGCACAAACGGTAGTGCAAGAGCCGAGACTACGTAACTTGTTGCTAGAGTGGCTTTGAGGCGGTAGTGTGGGTCGCGTGGGAGATGGCGGGTGGAGTATGTGCGGAGGTGGGAGAGGGCGTGTGTTGAGATTGCCATTTTGTGTGCCGGTATGTGGAAAGAAGCAAGGAAGATGGTATATGAAGTTTCGATCTGGATTAATGGTTGTGCCTTTGTATCGTCGTTGCGGTCGTGATTATAGATGCTCGCGTGTGACCAGCCCTACGGAAGATGATCTCGGAATGTGGGGCCAGGAAGGTTCGGTGGTGTCAGCGCGTGTGGGGTCCTGGTTGCGTCGGTAATTCTGTACTCTGCTTTATAAACCTCTTCAAAGCAAGTCAAGACAGGTAGAAAAATGATAGCATGGGGGCGTCGGAGGGTATTAATACGTTTCAAGATGGCTGCCTAGGACGTCTGCCCTGAGGCCATTGAGCAAGGGGTGAACGAACGGTCCTTCGCACTACGGCCGCGGCTGACTTGCACGTGGAGATGAGCGACGTATGCAGGCGGAGTCAAATGTCACCATTTTTGTGGGCTGCGGTTAGGGCTGCCTTGACGCTAGGAAGCGTTTCCGTTGCTTATATCTTGCTTTGAAAGCGTCTCTTGCGGATTCGGCTTATCAAAGCGCAAAGTGTACATACTGAGAGCATTGGTAAAACGGGCCTGAAGTGATCGTTGAATGTGTTCGCGTAGATTCTCTATTCATCTTTCTGCCACATTTCTTCAGGCGTGCATTCGCGAGGATGCCTCAGGATCTTGGCGATCCGGGTCACACCACCCTCGCGCGAGTACGCGCGAGCCGCCGCCTTTTCGCGGTAGATGCTTTTACCGGGGTGCAGAAAGAGTCCTTCTTGGCGACAAACGGCGCATTGGTGAGCAGTTGGTCACGACATCTTTGCTCGCAGTCACGAATCGGCGGTTTTCGCGGACCGGGTGGCTGTCAGCAGGAACGACCAGATGCTGATTGGTGGATGGCGTAGCACTGGCCTTGCGCAACCTCGCTGCGACTTCTCTTTCTGTGACCACGCAACGTCACGATGATTGGCAACACTTGTGGCTCTCTTGCCCTGACCGGCCTGGATAGGTCGCATCTACAGCTTCTTCAATGCTTCGTCTGCAACTCCTTGTCGGTCTTTTACGCGACTACCAATTTCTTTCGCCTGGTAGACAACGAGAATGTCGGCATCGATGACTGTGATCATCATTGCAGTGTCTCTAGGCATCATCGTGGTAAGCTGATGTATACTGCAGTCTCATACAAGCCATCACCCTCATGTTTTCCATGATCTTAAATTTAATACTACAAATTTGCATTGTCTTCGAGAAAAGCTCTCGGAAGCCATGTTGAGAGAAAAACTATCTGAACTTAATCGCTATTCAAGCTACTTCAGCTCACCCGGCTCGAAAAAAAGAAGAAGAAAAAGCGACCATAGCGCGGGCTTACACGTCCTCAACTACCACACCACCCTAATTATTCCTCCTCCCATTACGATCAAAGTTGAAAAACTGGCGTCCACCACCACCTCCTCCACCGCCAGCACGACGCGAACTACCACCACCACCACCATAAGCCTGCTGAGGAGCATAACGCTGCTGCGGCCTATACCCTTCATCCTCTGAATCCGATTCATCTTCATAGTAGCCCTGCGGACCAGAAGGTTGTTGACGACGAGAACCTCCATAGTCAACCATACGGCCAGGACCTCCACCATGACCATACTGTCCACCGGCACGCGGGTCTTCGTATCCAGCTCCATACCGCGGATCTTGGGCACCACCGCGGGTGTAATCTCGATCGTCCATGTAGCGCTGTTGGCCGTAGCTAGGCTGTTCTTGGGCGCGGCTAGTGCCAGCAGTGCGTGACTGTCTGAATGGGTTGTCTGCGCGTGAGAGACCGGAGAACATGAGGCCACGGCCACTACTACCACGGGGAGCGTGTTCTTGAGTAACACCGCCACCGCCCATGCCGCTCATAGGTCCGCCGCCGCCACCACGGCTGCCGGCGTAGTCACCGAAGGGCTCGTGGTGCTCTTGGTACTGTTGGCCTTCTGGACGTGAAGAATCGAAAGTCGAAGAGAAAGAGTAGCCGCCTTGACGCGGGGTTCCGCCGCCCATAGGACCACCACCGCCGCCGCGACCCATCATAGGAGGGGGACCACCTCCCATCATGCCTTCCATACCGCCGAAGGGGCCACCGCCCATGCCACCCATTGGACCGCCGAAGGGGCCGCCCATGCCGCCGAAGAAGTCGTCGCCGCCTGAGTTACCGAAAGGATTCATCTTGTGGGGTGTTGTAGGAGCGTAGGATTGTAGTTGTGAGTGGGTGAGTTGTGGGTGTGGATGAGGAGGGCTTAGGAGAAGATGAGGTCCCTGTGATATAGTCAGCGGGCGCGGGGTGAAAGTGTCTTGCTATCGAGTTTGACATAGAGAGTGAACATGCTGATGTTTGCAGTGTGTGCGGATGTTGTTGGTGATGGAATGGTCGAGTCGTAGCGGGAAGAAAATGGGAGGGGTGAAAGTATAGCTTGCGTGGATGCAGACGACACTGCTATCATTAGAAGGCTTAGGAGCGTATGAACAGGTCAGATTAGTAGGTGCCTATTTGGTCTCGCCATCTTCCACCTCTCTCAAACACCCTGTAAGTCCAATCACCACAGCATCAAAACACCTCAAAGGTAGAAAAACAAATGGTGAAGAAGTCTTTTATTCACTCTCCATCCTCCTTTACTATATCTCCATATGTAACTAAAAAAGGGTATATACATTGTTAGTGTGGTAAGTAATGTAAAAAAACGGACCAGCCTTTATAATTCTTGCGCTTTTTGCAACCAACCTCAATCGGCTATGTACTGTTCACTGTGTGTTTGTTTGTTGTTCTTCGTGTTGCGTCATGATGAGGCGTTTAGCTGAAGAACTTGAGGGCGCGCCTGAACCTGTTGCCACCGCGGTTGCCCTGGCCGCCGAAGCCGCCCTGGCCCTGGTTTTGGCGACCGTTGCCCTGACCCTGACCTTGACCTTGACCGTTCTGACCTTGGCCCTGGTTCTGCTGGCCCTGACCCTGGTTCTGTCCTTGACCCTGACCCTGCTGGCCCTGGCCTTGGCCTTGGTTGCCGTTGTTCTGGTTGCCACCGTTGTTGCCGTTACCAGCGTTGGGAGCTTGAGTAGCGTCAGGAATAAGAGCTGAGAGAAACATTAGCATGGACTCCATGAAGGTAAAGACGTGACGGATGAGAAAGCAACGCACCGGAAATGGCACTGGCACCCTCATTGCCACCCGCAGCACCAGCAGCCTGGTTCGCCGCGATAGCAGCAGGAAGATCCTTCTTGTTTTGCAGAATTTGTGCAGAGATACCCTCAAGTGTCTGAGCAGTGTCGACAGCTAGCGGCAGTGAGTATGGATACAGGATAGGGCAGACGCTTTCTAATGATGATGATAGAAAATGTGGAACTTACCAGAGGCAGCCTCGTCGGTGCGACCTTGTCCGTCAGTTTGCTGGACGGCGAAGCATCCACCAAAGGGACCGGCGATAGCGTTGTTGCGGCATCGGATAGTGCAGATGTTTCCAGTAGAAGCACCGAGGCAGTTGAAGTTGTCGGGCATCTGGACGTTGATGACAAAGTCCTTCTCCTTGGCCTGGGAGAGACCGAAAGAACCAGGGATGTTGTTGGACACCTTCAGGGGGGTGAAGGTGGTGACGGCGTTGCTAGTCTCGTCCATGTCGCACTCGAATGGACCGGCGCCATCAGCGTTGACTTGGTGGATGGTGACAGCCAGCATGGAGCCGCCAGAAACCTGGGCCATACGGCCAGCAGCAAGCTCGTTCTCGGTCTGCTCGCCGATGTCGATGTTACCAGCGATCTCAGTCCTTCCGCAGGCGTTGACGATGTTCTGCTTGATCTCCGAGTCGCGGATGATGGTAGCATCCTGCTGGCAAGGAGAGATGGTTGTGCAGTTGCGAGCAATAGCAGGATCAACCAAGAAACCTTGACTCTCACCGGAGTCTCCAACGGCAGCCAAGATAGCGGCGTGCGAGTGCACGGTGGTGAAGAGAGCGGCAAGCGCAACGGAAGAGGCAGCGAAGTACATAGTGATTGGAGTTAAAATAAAGTTGGCGCTCAGCGCTGAGAATAGAATAGAATGTGGAGTAAAGAAGGACTAGCGTCGAGCTGTGAAGAAGTGAAGACCGTTGATGGAGATAGATTACCAGCAGTGGAACGGATGGTAATCTATATACCATCCTCCATGACCAGTCGAACCACCACATCGTGAAATCCCTTACTCGACATCCATGGTGGTGTCCACTTGCATGAGACGTGCTTCGGTATAGGTCAAGGGTTTGGTGTATGGTCGTGCTGGCCTAGGCGCCTGAGTAGAGACTTGGCAATGAAA